GTGGGAGCAGTGGTCACTCTGCAGAGGCCCACTGTGCCCCCTTCTGAGTCAGACGGACGAAATTTCGGACAAAATTAGTTAGCGGTAGTTCGTTCGAACGTTCGTTTTGTTTTCGTTTCTTATTCGCTTCGTTCACTCGTTCGTCCGTTTGCAGCAATGTGACATTTGAAGGGGAAATTTTTTTTCTCTCCTTCTCTAATGTCACTCTGCTCCAACGAACGGACAAAACGAATAAGAAACGAAAACGAAACGAACGTTCGAATGAACTACCGCTAATGAATTTCGGAAACGAAAATTTGGATTCGTTTGCATTAGTTATATCTGTAATTCGGATACATCCGAATGTCCGAAAATTCATCCGAATTTCGATTCGTAACGAAACGAATCGCACATGTCTACCGCTCATCAGTTTAGTGTTATCAGTGATTAATGGCCCTAAAATGATTGCTCACACTCCCATGTTTGTGGGGTGATATGTGTGATGTAATCATTGTTTTCGCATGTAGGTGCACCCAATGCATATTTATGTTTGTATGTGCGTGCACAAGGGGGCAGGGGATTTTTTAATATATATATATATAAAACTTACATTTTTTAAACTTAAAACAGGTCCTCTTTAATGCTATCACATAAGGGCATTAAAAGCCCCCTATGTGATCGCTAATATACAATGGCAGGTCCTCTTTATGGAGACATTAGGGGACTCTAGGAACCCTAATGTCACCTTGGGAGCCCCAAAGAAGCTGATGAAGCAGAGATCTGCTTCACCAGCTTCTTCTCTGGCTATTACAGCCAGACAAATGACAGCTAAAGGCTGAAGTGATGTAACACACATCGCTTCCACTTTTTAAGAGAGAGGAAGATAGATCAGCAGTGGGAGAATGCTGATCTCTCCTCTGTTCTCAGTATAGGCAGCCACTGTGCTAGCCCCGGGCCCGCAGGGGGGACAGCGTAACCCGGGATAACCGGCAGTGATGGCGAAGGGGGGGAGAACGGCAGCTGAGAGTGGTGCAGCAATGGAGTGGGGGTCTACACACTGTATGTTGTCATACAAGCGATCAACTGGCTATAGAGCCAGACAAATGCTTGTATGGAACAGCTAGTACCAGCAGTTTATATTCCCAGCGGGATTCTACATGTACGTCCACCCGCTGGTAAGAGTCCGCCATCCGCCCGTGTTTTTACAACACTGTCAATCCACCTGCCTGAAAAACAATCATCAGCACTGAAATGTTTTTTAAGTCCAACTGAACTTTCAGTTTAAATTAGCTAAGTAGATTCTAGGTGCATTAAATCAAAAGATGTACTGTTATTTTTCTTTAGAAAGCAGGCACAGCCTGAGTAGATAAGTCTGTCCCCTGCGTGAATGCTGCAGAGAAGAACCTTTGGTCTGTATGGAAGTAGTGGCTACTTGGCAGAGGTCTGACACACTACCTTCTAAGTCAGACCTATAGCTCTGCAATCTGCTAAACCCATGCTCACTGCTGATTGGAGAACTCTAGCTTTGACTTAGTTGGGAAGGAGGGCTATCAGACCTTAGCAAAGAGATCACTGCTTTCACACAGTGCAACATGCGGGTAGGGAAAATATTCTTCTACTAAGGCTGTGTCTGCTTTCTAAAGAAAATTAAAAGTAAGATTAAATGTAAGATTTTGTGCACCTTTTGTTTTAATGCACCTGTAGCCTATTTCTTTTTAATTCCCCCGAAAGTTTTTTTAGCTGATTTAAACTGAAATTTTCAATGGGCTTTAACACATATCTGTGCTGACGATTGTTCTACATTGTTTACAGCAAAAAATTGATTATTTTGCAATATGAAATGTCTGTTTTTTTAGAAGTTTGTAAATATTTTAATACAACCCCAATTTAAAAAAAGTTGGGTCGCTTTGTAAAATCTACATAAAAACTGAAAGCAATGATCTGCAAATCTCATAAACCCATATCCCAGATAGCAAGAATAACTTGCCACAAACGTGTCAGGGTTAAATTGTAATTCTTTCTAACTTGCTGCACACTTTCCCTGGCAAGTTGCAGACTTGCATAACACTTGCAGCACAAGTTCTAGTTGACACTTTTTGAATTTGTAGCAAATGTGCTTGGCAAGTCTACAGCAAGAGTCCTGCATGTCTTAGCAAGAGCTCTGCAAGTGTACAGCACTTTTGCAAAGCGCATTGATCTGGAGACTTGCATTGCAGACTTGCTGTAATTGTGCAACAAAATTGTGAAGCTTGGCAACAGTTTACCAAGCCATTTTCAAACTTGCAGCTCAATTGCTTGCTATCTGGGATGTTATAGACATGTGCATTCTGTTTTGGACGAACCTGGAAATCAACAAAATTCTGTTGATTTGGCGTCCAAAATTCGTTTTCGTCCGAATCTGAAATAACAAATGTATTATATGCCCAAATATACAAAAACTATATTCGTACATAAATGAGTCTATAGAACGCGCTGCAGCCTTATTGGCCACCAGCGCATTCTGCCTGCCGCCATCTTGGAAGCGGACCTATGATGTCACGTGCCACCATTTTGGAGTATATTTTGGTATACATCAAGATGGCGGCACCCTAAATTGCCATCTTGGTGTATACCAAGATACACTCCAAAATGGTGGCGCGCCAATGTGGCCGTGGTTTGTTCTGCAGTTTATTGTGCGGTTTCAGATTCAGAGGCTCGTTGCCTCTGAATCAGCATTAACATTTGTTTCCTTTAATGAAACAAATGAAAATGTTTTTAGTCCAAAACAATTTTTTTGCCATGCACATGTCTCATATTTTATTCACCATAAAAAAAAGAAAACATATAAAATGTTTAAACTGAGAAAATGTACCATTAAAAAAAAGGTAATTTTGAAATTGGTGGCAGCAACACTTCTCAGAAGAGTTTGGACAGGGCAACAAAAACCTGGAAAAGTAGGTGGTACTAACAAGGAAGAGCTGAAAGAACATTTTGCAACTAATTAGGTGAATTGGCAAAAGGTCAGTAACATGATTGGGTATAAAAAGAGCATCTTAGAAAGTCAGAGGGGTCTATTCACTAAGCTGCCGTAGGCAGCCGAGTGACTGACCGACCTGATGTGAAGTGAGCCGAACACTGTTCGGCTATTCACTTCAGGCTGGTATGGCTGATTTCAGCCATACATCGGCTGAAATCAGCCGTACATCGGCTTGCTTCACATGGCTTCGGGTCAGCCGAACATGCTCAGCAGGTTTGGCCGACCCAAACTGCAGAAGGAGTTCGACTCAGCCGATCCAACATCTGGATCGGCTGAGCCAAACATCTGGCAGGCTACTCACTGCTGTTCGGCCTATTCTTATAGATGCCGAACAGTAGTGAGTGAATAGCCGAATCCCGCTGAACGGCATTCGGCTCGGCTGTTCTGCTCGGTCCCTCAGAGGGACCGAGCAGAACAGAAAAATAGTTTAAAAAGTAAAAAAAGTCAATAGAAAACGATTGTGCGGAGCTGGCAGTGACAGCTAGCTCCGCCCAATAGTTTCCTATTGTCCGGCGGCTCTGCTGCTGTAAAAAAAAAAACGAAAAAAAACTCTCCTGGGCGCTCTGGCTGCCCAGGAGAGAAACACTGCTTTTTCTTTTTTTCTTTATTCTGACACGAAGCGATGTCAGAATAGAAAAAAAAATGTTTCCCATTGAAATGCATTGCTACATTACTATTGGCTATTTCATATTGCAAATTGAAATAGCCAATAGTAATGTAGCAATGCATGTCAATGGGAATTTTTATTTTGTTTATCTATTCTGACATCGCTCCGTGTCAGAATAAAGAAAAAAAAAGAAACAGCAGTGTTTCTCTCCTGGGCGGCCGGGAGCAGGAGACTCCAAGGGCGCCAGGTAGAGTTAGCTGTTTGGAGATTAGTGTCCCTGGTTAGCAGGTAACTAGGGATGCTGATCTCTCTGCAAGTGGCCGGAGCCAGCCGTAAGATCACGGCTGGCTCCACCCAGCTGTCAGAAGCAGGCTGTCGGCTGGCCAATCGGCATATGCGTTCGGCTCGACTGAGCTGCTTGGCCACGTTCGGGAGCTTTACGGGCTATAGTGAATAGCCCGTACAGCACCCCTTCAGTTCTACTGAACCGAAGCGAGCCGAAGGATTGGCCGAAGCTACGGTTAGATCCTTCGGCAGCTTCGTGAATAGACCCCAGAGTGTCTCAGAAGTAAAGATGGACAGAGGTTCACCAATCTATGAAAAGCCCAAGATTGTTGAGTAGTTAATATCCTATATAAGGCAAAAATGGGACAACATTCCTCTCTGAAAAACTCCAGCAACTAGTCTCCTCAGTTCCCACACATTTACAGAGTGTTGTTCAAAGAAGAGGGGAGGTTACACCATGGCAAAGATGGCCTGTCCCAACTTTTTTGTGCTGCGATCAATTTCAGAATTACCTTATTTTTTCTTAAAATTGTAAATTTCATATGTTTTCTATGTTCTATTGTGAGTAAAATATGGGTTTATGAGATTTGCAAATCATTGCATTCTGTTTTATTAAGATTTTACACAGTGTCCTAACTTTTTTGGAATTGGGGTTGTAAGAAAAAGCCTACGATAGCCCCTTTCATAAAGTCTTCTATAAGTGATAATTAAAACTTTTCACTAAAATATTTCCATAGTATGAAAATCTCTAGAATTTACATTACAAAGCTCTGAATAGTTTTTTTGAAGCACACTAGTCAGCATTATTAGATTTTTATATTGTACATCATTTTTATAAGAGATTTTAGAGGTTTTCAAATGAATTAAAGACTGCATTTTAAGTCAACCAAATTCCAACAAAAAAGTTGTTTTCATTTTATTTAGATTTCATTAGGGAAATAAGAACTTTTACATACATAGCACCCCCTGGTTTAATCATGTCTTGTACAAGTGGGAATACATTTCAATCTGTTCTTTGTTGTATTAATAAGTGTGTGTTTTATTGAAATAATGTAACCACTGCTGTTATTTTGTTAGGCCAACTAAAATAATAGATTTAAGTGAGTTACTTACCTGCAAACCTCGCTGAAAAACTTTATGGCCCATAAAATTGGCCAGCATTCGAATTAAGGCTGCCCCCTGTAGGGAAAAATATCAATTAATATTGTAAACCCAGTAAATAATTATTTTATGAAAATATAAATACATTAAATTAAAAAGCTTGTTTCATTAAAACAGTAAAAAAGCTCTATGTTGCAAAAAAAGGAACAAAATATTTACAGAGTACCATTTTGAATGACATCCATGTGGATTAGCAGTTTCTTAATCAATGTTTAAGAACTTTTAATTTAACCTCTTGCCATCCGCCCATCTTCTGGGAGAAGTGATGTCCTACTGGAGTGCAATATTCATCCTCTTTGTGGTTCTTGATCGAGCTCATGTGTAGGTTCATCCTGAGCTGCAGCTTAAGGCCAGTTTCCCCAATGTAACATTGGGGAAACCTTTGTCACATGCTGAACACTGTATCATGTACACCACGTTAGCAGATGTGCATGAGTATGACCCCTTAATGGTGTACGCTTTGTTATTGTGACTCACTGTATTTCTGTCACATATATGTTGGCAAAGTTTGCAGCGGGGTTTATTGCATTGTACTGTGCCGTTCTGTGTAAGCGCCTGTTCTGCGGTCAGCTTACTGCGTACCAATTTTCTTCTCAGGTTCAGTGGTTGCTTGAATGCTAGTATTGGGGGCTGAGGGAATATTTATTTAAGTATGTGGTCTTCTGAGAGTACTGGCTGTAGATCTTTTAGTTATTTTGCGTATTACCTCTAGAGTAGGGTTGTAGGTAACTACAAGAGGGGTCCTGGTTTGGTTTTTCTTCTCTTTGTACTGTAGCAGTCTTTCCCGTGGTGTTCTTAGGGCAGATTTAATCTTTTTAGAAATAGTCTTTTCCCTATAGCCCTTT